CACACAGGCAAACATGCCTGTCCTTGGTACTGAACACCATCCACACACAGGCAAACATGCCTGTCCTTGGTACTGAGCACCATCCACATACAGGCAAACATGCCTGCCCTTGGTACTTAACACTATTCTCACTGCGCGCTGATTGGATCAGACTAATGAGTACACCTGTGAACACCATATAAGTACAGAGAGACAGATCACCCCATGTGCACACAGAGGATTCTTCCCCCACACCGTGGAAGCGACGGTCGGCTTCCTCTTCTGAGTCGTGACACGAGGCCCGGTTTGTAGGGTCGACAGGTTTGACATTTTTGGTGTTGGTGCTTTGTTGTTTCGCGGTTTTCACAAGTTTGCTTTGTGTGGTAGAAGTGTTCGGTCGTTGTGGCCGGAAGGTTTGGAAGATTTGAATATGGAATTTGGCATGGGGAACGGCTTTCTGTCATGTCTTGGGTTCTCTGCCGGCATGGTGGTTGGTTTGACTCAAGTGCGGAATTCTTGGGGATGTGAGTAAGGAGTTCTGACTTAATTAATGTTTTCACTGTTTTAGTATGGCGACGCAGGTTCCTCGAGCACCGGATACAGGACAACAGAAGGGAAAGCAGCCGGTGTGACTGAGATCTCGCACCCCCTGATTTTGCACCACCCCCCGGGGCGAGATCACTAGCGATCTCGAACCCCCCGGGGCGAAATCGCTAGCGATCTCGCACCCCCCAAGCTAGTGTTTTCGCACCCCCAAACTAGTGTTTTCGCACCCCCGGTGATCTCGCACCCCCGCCCCGTTTTGTTACTTTTGTGTTTAGGTAGACCATCTCCATATTTTAGAATGCATATTTGACAAAGTTGGTGCTAATACATACCATCTGATACATTGTTGTTATAGCCTAAAATAGGCTAATGCATCGTCAATGGTAAAACTTCAGGGGTTATGTACAGGGGGGGTTAGCATTTAAGAATTGACAAAGTTTTTACATTTCCATATTTAGATGGACCATCTCCATATTTTAGAATGCGTTTTTCACAAAGTTAGTGCTAACCCACCCCCCTTACTAGTACTGTGCATGTGAATGCTATACATGTGACTTAAAGAGAGAAGACCACTTGATGCTGGGTTTGCTGTTTTGTAGTTCAGTATACTTCAATGCCAGTTGTTTTGTTGTTATTGTTGTTAAACTTTATTATAGAAATTTAACTGTTGTCCTGCCTGGAAGCAGAGAACCTGACAGCCTTTCCAAAGTTCCTGAAAAGGAAGACAGAACGGAGAATCACTGTAGAGACAGTTACTGTGACTGCAGACGGCCACAGAGCATCGGAAAGTTTAACCTGTGCTCCGAATGGTTTCACTACAGATGTACTAGCATTAGACTCTCGGCCAAAGAAGCAAGGAGCATGCCATTGGAAGACTGAGAGTGTCCAAAATGTAGGCCCCCATCGTCAAAACGGCCGAGACTGTACAGCACACTAGTACTGTGCACGTGAATGCTATTCATATACGCGATTAAATTAGATCGCTCTTCTGTTACTTTTCCTGTTACTGTTGAGAAGATTCTATGGAAATAAAATTTGAATACATGTAATTCAATTTGGTGTGTTGTATTGCCTCAATAACCTAAGGAACGTACCCTTGCAGTCAAAAGAACATGAAAGGTAAACAAAAATGGATTTGTGCATTATAGCTAGAGTTCCACGATCTCATACCTTCGCCAACTGATGTTCACCTTAATTTATATTAGATTATGCATATGAGGTCTTAATTTGAATAAATTATGTTTAATGATATTCAGCTTTGCTCACCCTCCAAACGTCACAAACATCAAATTCCTGGCAGTTAAAAACAATGAAATTATAGCTTTTTCTTATGAATTATGCAAATTAGCCCCCAATTTACATAATATTATATGGCCATGTTCCTCTCCTGTCCAATTACACATGTCACAAGTCTGAATAGTCCTATCATGGCATGCAACAGATTTATAGAATATCCTCATTAACAATGCAAATTATATCCTTATTTGCATAATTGTCATCTCATTATGTCAAGCATCATCTAGGCTGCCTACATACCAAAAATCACAATGATTCCTCAACTGGTTCTTGAGTTCTCCTCCTTTAAACAGTCCCCTGCAGTTCTCAAACAAGCTGCTAGGGGGTCCAAACTTACGTCACTTATTCCCCAGGGCAAGAGCTATCTATCATGCAAACTTCATGACCCTAGCATGTTCAGATCACGAGATATCAAAACCGGAAGTTCTGCTGCAGTACCATAACAAGCCGCTAAGGGGCCCAAAATCTAATCATTTCGAGGTCTCATCAAGACCAACCCACCTACCAAGTATCAAGACAATATATTCAAGCGTTCTTGAGTTATGGTGGTAACAGGCAGACAAACAGACAGACAGACAGACAAACAGACACACCGCCACGAAAACATAACCTTCTTGGCGAAGGTAATTACTGAATATTGGTATTGTCATACTAGAGGATAGTGTTTGTTAATAGGTAGCATCTGATATAGTAACCACTGTGAATTACGAAGGCCGTAACAGAACACATACGGGGTGAACAAATCGATTGAGGGGGTAGCGATTTTGCACCCCCCGGGGGGTGCAAGATCACCAAAGGGGTGCGAGATCACTAGTGATATCGTTCCGGGGGGTGCGAGATCGCTAGTGATTTCGCTCCGGGGGGTGCGAAATCACTGGGGGTGCGAGATCTCTGTCACACCGGCTGTGACTCTGAGTGACCCGGGGCCATGTGCGGCTCAGCCAGCGCCGCGAGCAGGTCCGTCACAAGCCCCACAGGAACCGCAGCAGGTATTGATGTTTGAATTTTCGGTTTTGTGCGTAAGTTTGTTTCTTACGGGGTGTTTGAGTTATGTTTTTGCCCATAGTTGTGTGGTTTTGTTGTGTCTGGAGTTTGAAGCGCGTACTTTTCATATGTTAATGACTTGGATGGACCCATCACCTGGGTGGTAAGTTGGAATGTTGTGTCTAGGATAGATTTGCATTTATTTGCATGGCATGTTTTGTGGTATTTACTCATGTTTTATGGTTTCAACGCTCTAAGCATGCGGGACTTGTGTTATACGCGGGGCGTATGATATTTTGATACTCATGCGGGGCATGTGTTATATACGCGGGGCGTATGATATTTTGATACTCATGCGGGGCATGTGTTATACGCGGGGCGTATGATATTTTGATACTCATGCGGGGCATGTGTTATACGCGGGGCGTATGATATTTTGATACTCATGCGGGGCATGTGTTATACGCGGGGCGTATGATATTTTGATATTCATGCGGGGCATGTGTTATACGCGGGGCGTATGATAATTTGATACTCATGCGGGGTTTGTGTTATACGCGGGGCGTATGATATTTTGATACTCATGCGGGGCATGTGTTATATGCGGGGCGTATGCAAACATTTGATTTTGGATTTGAAACACGCGGGGCGTGTGATTCAAGTTGAATATAGGGCAATGAATTACTAGGAATTGATACATATGGTGATGAAGGTTTGGTGTTTTGTTTTCGCATGCATTAACGGTTGATGACCTTGAGAAAGGAATTAGAGGAGATGAAAGAGACCGTCAGTAGGATCCAGAAG